ATCACCATTCGAGGTGACATCATCAGTGCGTTATTGTGGAGCGTAGTAGTGCGTGGCGGTGGGTTGGTGGTTGTGCGCACAACGTTGTGCGACACTGTAGAGTGAATAAGGTCAGTGATTATTGCACCGTATCCTTGCAGATATACAACCTTACTTTTGGACGGACGTCTATGAGCCGCTCTATGTTCGCCGACCCACTCACGATTGATGCTGAGACAATGTTTCAGCTTGTATTGTGATGTGGGTTGAAGCCGACTGGTCGGATCCAAACTGACTTTGTGGGGTATCACACTTTGAACCTCATCATTCATTGTGAACCCAAATTGTGAATTTCCGGTTGGTAGATATGAGCCTCCTTGGAGGAAGAAAAATGAAAAAGTGGCGACAGCAAGCCAGTGCAAAATAGCTCAAATCAGCACAAGATTTACTGGATCATCTTGGCATAATTTTGAGGTAGAGACGTTGGAAAATCGCTACCGTAACGAACGGAAAGGGGTTCGTAAGTGAAACTCCGCAGATTTTGTAAAGTATTAGGCCTTCGTGACAGTTCTGGTTTACGAAGGTCATGTGGGGATAGATGGTTAGTCAAATAAGACCGAATGTACGTCATCAGCTGCTTAGGACAGAGTGTATTTTAGTGCTTGAGTTGTTCCCTCATCTTGGCAGTTCTGTTTTCCAGCTCGAACTTTAGCCGATTGGGTTGGGTGATTGATATTCTATTGTGTATCGGAGTGAACCTTTTCTGCATTTCAGGGTGGGATGCTCATAAATGCGACTCCTATTTCGCTGCGCTGCAGTTACAACCAACTCCTAGGTAGCTGTGGTCTACACACAATATAAGTATCTTCTACTTTTTTCTCATGGTAATCCTTTGGCTGTAACCTCCATTTGGTGCCCGTCTACCATGTCTCATGAAGGAAGCACGAGGGCTGGAACACTGCCAGTTTGCCCAATTCTAGACAAGAGAAGTGGAGATGCTGTGGTTAGATTCGAACCTTGGACTCTCTGGTGATTAATTTCATGCCTTAACTACTGACCCATTGCGAGACAAGACGCCAATTACTACACTGCATCAGCAAATTACATAGATTGGGAAGGTTTACCATGGACGTTTTTTTACGAGTATAAACCAGCACAGTTTATTGATTCACTTTCCAGGTAACGTTTGATTTTCCTTGCCAGAAACGGTCATCCAGGTACTCACAAGCGTAAAGAACGTTCGCGTGAAGCTGCGCGATGCAGACGGAACCAGGAGAACGAATTATTCAAAGCGTTGGCCCGACTGCTTCCACTTCATCCGGAAATCGCCCCGCAGTTGGACAAAGCGTCTATCATCCGACTGGTAGTCAGTTATGTAAAACTAAAAACATTTCTTGGTGAAATGAATCACATCTATATGTCTGCTGAGTGCGACGATAGATCAAATTCCACCTGTAAGTTCATGACCTTCATATCGAATGGATTCATTGTGTAATCTTTGATGAACTCCTTCATGGTGAACTAAATTTCGCCGTCAATAGAACAGGAACAATTGCATCCGGACGTTACTGAGTGTCTCAAAACAGGAGTGTTGCGGTATTTCAAGATTTCTTCAGTTGCACTTAAAACTGGCTTGTTGAAAGGACTTAAACGATAGAGCTGAGTGTGATCAGGAACATTCCATTTTTCCTTTTTTTGTCATTATACATGAGTCACTTTCAAACGGCTGTCCATTCCTATTTTTTGTTCAACGCTTTCCCTCCCTTTCCTTATTAAGTACTGCTACTGAATGTCGATCGTTGTCTGTCAGTCGGCTGTACATTTGGTCAACTCTGCTACCCTCATGTCACCGGACAGTTACGTTTTAGCATTGTCTAACTACTCATGAGCAACTAAGAATTAACGAAATTTGGGAATGGGTACATAATCTGGGTTATCAAGATGACTAAACGGATGAGAGTACAACGCACACGCGAAATACACTCATTTTCAAACAAATTTGGTTTTGCAAGAGACTCACATGGAACCCAGCTGAATCTCCCAAGCAACTGAATTTGCAAATGAGTGTATTTCGCTAATTTTGTGCAATCGTGTTCAAGTAGAACGTAAGGTTGACGGAAACTCGGGGACTGTGCTTGTCTGGTGAGCCTCAAGAAGAGCGTACCCGGTCGTGGAAACCGCTCGTAGAAAACTTACGAGCATTGTATTAAGTCTATAGCACACAGGGCCTACGGAAATCCCATTATGAGTAGTATGTCACATCATGAAGATATACCCCGATGTCACGAATATCAGTGTATCAACCGATAGACAAAGTTTGTACGTCACGAATATCAGTGTATCAACCGATAGACAAGACAAAGTTTGTACGTTAGTCGAAGTACATCAGGAAGAGATGAGCCATTTGTTAACTTCAACCTAATTTGCGGATAGATGCATTTTACCAGTTGTGCAAGTAATTTGTTTCCCCAACCTGGTTGATTCCTTGGTTGATTCCTTTAGAAACTATGGTCTATTCAAACATTTCCTCCTGTAGATGAGTGCGGGAATTCAACTGTAATGGATTGGATGTTATCTGAACTGTTACAGGTAAGGTGGCAACATGGCCAATTCGCCAGCTACATAGCTCTCTGACAGCTTTCTCATTATCTTGGCAGCAGATATGACTATTCTGTACGTTTCGGAGACTGTCTCGGTTTTTCTCGGATTATCACAGGTAAGTTTACGGATCATAGCATCTTGGATATTTAAGTTAAAAATGCCAGTATGATCATCTTTCGTCTGTTTTCTTTTTGAAAACCTTGCACGTGGACGAGAATACCGGTAAATTTCATCATAGTTTCTAGTAACCTCAAAAACGTCCACTGTAAGGTGACAAAATGTTTTAATGTACTCTTCACAGTAGTTACGATCAATATTACATATAACATTAGATAGCCTACAGGTGTGAGTCATAACACTCACAAGGGTGTCTGGAGAAGTCTAATGACCTTGTTAGAAAGCAGCGTGTTCATGATGTAAGATCCTGTTGATGATCTTTATCACTTGGAAGCGCTAAAAAATACCGTTGATATCTCTACTCACCGATGTGACTTGTCAGGCAGTTTCAATCCGGATGTTGTTCCTTAGTGATCCCGCAAGTGGACGCATTCCCTTGAAGAAAGAATTTGAATGACTCTTTCTTCCAGTTGATGAAGCACACCGGACTCTTCCAGTTGCTTACGGGTCTGGCTCTTGAGTTTCATCTTAGAAGTCCCCTCCCCTTTCATGGAAATTCCCTCCCTTGGGTCTGAGTAAGCAGAAAGAGGGAATGTCTTAATGGTTCGTTTTTGTGCTTCCCTGATTTCAAGATAAAAGTCAAAACAGGTACCTGTGAGATATTCAAGCATTGATAATACGAGAAGGTTTGAAAGTCTTACTGAAGATTTTTTTCTGTTAGTGGTGTCAATCCAAGATAGTCTATAAGTGCATTTTCGCTTCACTTGTGGGACGAAATGTGCATTAATATTCAGATGTTTTGTACGAACGGTGTTTTGCACAACGGGGCAGAGACCCTATAGGCAGAGCGAGACATCTTGATTGACTCCGGTTGTGTTCGCCTGATTCTTCCACTGTCAGCGATTTCAGAATGTTGGGTGCCTTGACATGTTCAATTTCTCCAACCACCCAAAGGGAGGAGTATCTCGAAGGAATGCTGTCGATTTGTGGCTATTCTGCAACTCTACTCTACTCTACTCTACTCTACTCTACTCTACTCTACTCTACTCTACTCTACTCTACTCTACTCTACTCTACTCTACTCTACTCTACTCTACTCTACTCTACTCTACTCTACTCTACTCTACTCTACTCTACTCTACTCTACTCTACTCTACTCTACTCTACTCTACTCTACTCTACTCTACTCTACTCTACTCTACTCTACTCTACTCTACTCTACTCTACTCTACTCTACCCTACTCTGTCAGTCCTTCCTCACAGGTTAAAACGATGACTTGTCAGGTTATTAATACGTACCCCAGATGATTAGTTGTTTTCAACCGCAGTCTGTGAATACTAACAACAGAGCTTATGCAGCCTTCCCTCCAACCTAGGTTGATATGACGGGGAGAAACCTGCTAGAATACGTGTCTGGACAGAATATTGGAAGAAATACTGCTACGTTCAAGAAATCCTGCGCAAGGTATTCTTTTTATTTAAAATGATCTGTTCTGATATACTAAGGTAAGAGGAGGCTGTCACTCTCCATTCGTTTGAAGTCAAACCTTCCTAAGCGTGGACGTCAGTCCGATGGATATCGCGTAGGTGCTTCACCAAACTAATCCATTCCTTTCTCGTTCAAGAAGATTTGTTTGCAAATTAAAATGGCCTATTCAGAAGATTACAAAATCTGCTGGTACCTGGGTATTGCTGTCATACTGCAGCCGATCCGTGTTTCGGAATTGAGCACATCCTGTCATACGTATGTGCTTCGACTGACGGATGATCTTTGTATACAATACATTGAAAATTCGTAAGTCTCCTGTTCTTGATATAATCTTTTTTTTCAAGCTCCACCTTGACACCTGAACAACAGCGTGTTATGCATCTGAATATATATGACTGTTTTTTTATCTACCTGATACCCATATAAATTTTCAAACTGCCCTACTGAGCTGAGAGGAACTTCACGTAATGGGACAATGTTATCTTTCCTCGAACCAGTAGTAAACCGATATTTCTCATCAAACTGGTCTATTTGTGTCCAAGAATGTATGTAGCATCCATAAATTTTGCTTCAGGTTATAGAAAAACAATGGATATTTTAATGCGACCATTTCAGGGACAGCGTGCGGTGGACATAATAACTTTTAGGGACGCAACACAAGAGAGGAACATTGAGTTGGACACCGAGAGCAGTTTGAATTTATTGAATTTGGAGGTGGGCGCATGCACCATACTTGACAGTCTACAGAAATGAAGGTCCTATCTATCACCCGGAAAGACAGCTGTTGTATCTCTTCACCTGCCCTGACGCTACTGGGTTATAGTCAGAAGACAAGAAGACGACCTGAAGGAACTGTGTATTAACGCAATTACAAACTTCTATATATATGATTCACTTGTCACCGTATTTGATGGTCGATCCGCTGTCAACCAACCAGTGTGTCTCCTACACACCCACACCGGTTCTCGGGTGGTTGTTTCTTTGTCTCGGTTGATCATAGATGGCCGTCTGTGCGCTTGTGTACGGGGTGCCTTGGCCATGGAGTGGGTGTGAAATTTCTGTGTCCCTATTTGACCTTTCTCCGGCACATGATGAAATCGGACGTGATTCAGACGTGGGGGAATAATTGTACGGCTCTGTTTCACATGATTGTTCCGCTGCGCATTAAGTTGATGCGCGGCCGTATTAAGTATAAGTGCAAGGGAATGAATCTTATCACTCCAAATCTGATTAACTTGTTTCTTTTTCGGTGAGGGAGAGGTCAATTCAAATTAAAAAAATAATACAGAGGCATGTAATCGTACGCCTTTCTGATCAG